CTACCACCCCACCTCTCGCCGTGTTCTGTCCTCCCAGGACGTCACGTTTGACGAGTCGGTCCCCTACTACCGCCTCTTCCCCTACCGCACTCCGTCCCTCCCCCCGCCACCGCTCTTCCTTGTGCCAGGTCCCCCCCCGGTAGACCCTCTCCCCCCTCAGGGTCCTGCCCCTTCAGGTGTGTCCCAGGTAGACGCAGTCGAGCCTGTCGAGGTTACTGGTGACTCTGGTGCTGCTGAGGGTGCTGAGCCTGGGGGTGCTGACTCTGGGGGTGCTGAGCGTGTGGGTGCTACGCCTGGGGGTGCTGAGCCTGAGGGTGCTACTACTGGGGGTCCTGAGCCTGGGGGTGCTGAGCCTGGGGGTGCTACTACTGGGGGTGCTGAGCCTGGGGGTGCTGAGCCTGGGGGTGCTACGCCTGGGGGTGCTGAGCCTGGGGGTGCCACGCCTGGAGGTGCTGAGCTTGGGGGTGCGGAGCCTGAGGGAGCTGGGCCTGCTCGTGTGGCGTCTGGCGGTGCTGAGCCTGGAGGTTCTCCGGGTGCTTCGTCTTGGCGGGAGCCACTCTCTCCACAGGAGCTGCGCGAGTGGTTTGCCCGGCGCTGGAGGCGTGCTGCTGGAGCTGGGGGTGCGGAGTCTGGGGGTGCGGAGCCTGCGGGTGCTGAGTCTGGGGGTGCTGAGTCTGGGGGTGCTGAGCCTGGGAGTGCTACGTTTGAGGGTATTGAGCCAGAGGGTGCTGCGACTGAGAGTGCTACACCTGGAGGCGCTCTTTCCTCACAGCAGCTGCGTGAGTAGTACTTACAGTACAGCAGCCTCAGGAGAGGTGCTGCTGGAGCTCGTGCTCGTGCTTCCCCTCCTAGGCGGGAGCTGCCCTCTCCCCAGCGGCTCCGAGAGTGGTACACTCGTCGCTGCAGTCTCCGGAGTGGCGCTACTAGTGTCACGGACCCTGGAGCTGGAGGTGCTGCTGGTGCTGGAGCAACTGGAGGTGCTGCTGCTGTGGTGCTGCTGGTGCTGCTGGAGGTGCTGCTGGTACTGGTGCTGCTGGTGCTGGTACTGCTGGAGCTGCTGGAGGTGCTGCTGGTGCTGGAGCTGCTGGAGGCACTGCTGCTGCTGGCGGTGCTGCTGGAGCTGCTGGTGCTGGTGCTGCTGGAGCTGCTGGAGGTGCTGCTGGTACTGGTGCTGCTGGTGCTGGTACTGCTGGAGCTGCTGGAGGTGCTGCTGGTGCTGGAGCTACTGGAGGCACTGCTGCTGCTGGCGGTGCTGCTGGAGCTGCTGGAGGTGCTGGTGCTGCAGGAGGTGCTGGTGCTGCAGGAGGTGCAGCTGGTGCTGGAGCTGCTGGAGCTGCTGGTCCTGGAGGTGCTCGTACTGGAGGTACTGGAGCTGCTGGGACTGGAGCTGCTGCGGGAGTTGGAGCTGGAGTTGCTGAGCGGCCGCGGCCGTACTACGTTCCGCTCCTAAAGCACGTTCTTGGTCTCCCGCCCTCTCCTGGTCCTACTCCTCCCCTACTGAGTCCACCGCCTGTCCAGTCACAGTCACAGTTACAGCCTGCCTCTCCGCTGCCTGGTCCTTCTCCTTACACTGCGCCGACGGGTAGTCTTACTGAGCGTCGTGAGCCTGAGTCTCGTCCTCCGTCGCCTGAGTCTAATCCGGAGTCGCCTGAGTCGCGTCCAGAGTCGCCTGTCCGCGCTGTCCGCGCTGGTCGTCGTTCTCCACGTCAGCGTCCTCCTCCTGTCCTTGGCACTCACTATATGACCCTGCGTCCTTCCACTGCTCCACAGCGTGTCCCTCTGCCGTCTCCTCCTGCGTCCTCTCTTCCTGACGTTGCTGACCCGCCGTCAGACCTCGCTCGTGCTGCCAGTCCTACTGTCGCGCGTCTCCTTGGCACTGTTGTCACTGACCCTACCTTTGAGTCCTCTGCTGCGTCTGCCCTAGTCGCTGAGCTTGTTGACTTTGCTGCCACCTGTCGTCTAGACTACGCCGCTAGCCTTGTTGCTGAGTCTGACTTTGTCCGTCCTCCGTCCGTCGGGGGTGAGTGTGCTCTTGGCACGGACGTCCTTGAGGACAGACAGGAGGAGTTTGAGTGCTTTGCTGCTGCTTTACCTCATCTCGTGTCCATGCTGTGTGCCCCTGAGGGAGACCCGGATGCACCAGACATCCCGACCCCACGCTCTTACGCAGAGGCGATGGAGGGTCCCTACTCCTCTCAGTGGCAGACAGCCATGGACGCAGAGATGGCTTCGTGGAAGTCCACAGGCACCTACGTCGACGAGGTTCCCCCACCTGGGGCGAACATCGTCAGTGGCATGTGGATTTTCAGGGTGAAGCGGCCGCCGGGTTCTCCGCCTGTCTTCAAGGCGCGTTACGCTGCACGAGGCTTCAGTCAGCGAGAGGGAGTTGACTTCTTCCAGACCTTCTCCCCGACCCCGAAGATGACCACTCTTCCGGTTCTGCTGCACGTCGCCGCTCAGCGTGACTACGAGCTCCACTCTCTTGACTTTAGCACTGCGTTCCTACAGGGCAGCCTGCACGAGGAGATCTGGCTGCGCCGCCCACCTGGCTTCATTGGGTCGTTCCCTCCTGGTACCCAGTGGAGCCTCCGGCGGCCAGTCTACGGTCTCCGCCAGGCACCCCGTGAGTGGCACGACACACTGAGGACTACTCTTGCTGCTCTTGGGTTTGCTCCCTCCACTGCTGACCCGTCGCTGTTCCTACGCACCGACACCACTCTGCCGCCGTTCTACGTTCTAGTGTACGTAGACGACTTGGTCTTTGCTACTGCTGACACTGAGGCACTCGCCCACGTGAAGTCGGAGCTGCAGAAGAGACACACGTGCACAGACCTGGGTGAGCTGCGCAGCTATCTTGGCTTGCAGATCACCCGGGACAGAGCACGGCGCACCATCACCTTGACTCAGTCACACATGGTGCAGCAGGTCCTTCAGCGCTTCCGCTTCACGTACTCCTCGCCTCAGCCCACTCCTCTGCCTACCGGTCACTTGCTCTCAGCTCTGCCTTCGGATGAGTCCGTAGAGCCGAGTGGCCCGTATCTAGAGCTTGTGGGCTGCCTCATGTACCTGATGACCTGCACTCGACCTGACCTTGCATACCCTCTTAGCATCCTAGCACGCTATGTCGCTCCTGGCCGTCACCGGAAGGAGCACATGGATGCCGCTAAGAGGGTGTTGCGCTACTTGTGCAGTACGTCGGGCATGGGGCTTGTGCTTGGAGGACGGAGAGACGTTGTCCTCACTGGGCACTCAGACGCTTCTTGGGCTGACGACCAGGCTACGCAGCGGTCGTCTCAGGGTTACACCTTTAGTCTTGGCTGTGGTTCAGTTTCTTGGCGTTCTACTCGCTCGTCTTCAGTTCTCAGCTCCAGTTGTGAGGCTGAGATCTACGCCACAGCCATGGCTGCCCAGGAGCTACGTTGGCTCACCTACCTGCTGACCGACCTGGGAGAGCGGCCTCGTTCTCCTCCAGTGCTGTACGTCGACAACAAGGCCGCCCTTGCCTTGTGTCAGGAGCACAGACTAGAGCACAGAACGAAGCACATCGCCCTGCGCTACTTCCTTGCTCGAGAGCTGCAGCAGCGTGGTCAGCTTCGTCTTACCTACGTGGCCACTCGGGCCAACACTGCTGATGTGTTCACCAAGGCGCTTCAGCCTTGTGATCATCAGCGTTTCTGTACTGTTCTAGGCCTAGTGCCTACTGTCCTTCACTTGCTCACTTCTTGACTCTGCTTGTACTGTGATCTCTATATATATACCTGCATGCTTACACTTGCTAGGTTGTGATCACTGTACCTCTTGTTATATTATCAAACTGCATGTGAACTGGTCTTGTGACCGCTTGCTTGTGCTCGAAATTTGTGTGGTATCCTTGAGATCCACCCTGAGCTTGTTTTGCTTTGCTTTGCCTTGACTGGTCTTGTGACCATCTGGTTGTCTCCCACTTTGCCTATGGGGGTGTGTCAAACATTGTATATGTTTGTGCTTTGTAGGCTGTAGTAGGTTTAGCCTTAGGGGGTACAATCTCTAGGGTTTCATACTTGTACTCCCAACTTTCCTAGTTCAATCATTCTTGTCCTCTCTAAGATTCTAACACAGTCACCGTCTCCACTCTCACTGGCTACCTCCACTCGAACTGGCACTCGGGCGGGTAACCCTGGATAGTAGGCCCTGTTGGTTTGGGAAAAAACAAAAGCATCCGTGCTCAAACACCTTGCCCAACCTCTAAACACTCTGGGAAAAAATTTATCGTTGCCCTGTTTTCCAGATTGGCAACCGTTGCATCGGGCAGGGCAGAAAAGTGCACTGCGGGCATCTGGTGTACAGTTTAAAATCGAACGCGAGATTACGTTTCCATTGAAGCGCAATTTCTCGCAAGACGCCAAAAAAGCGACTGTAGATCAAGGTCTGTTCGGTAGGCACCCAGTCAGACTGGGCCCCACTCGCACTGGAGAACCCGAGGCTAGGAAGGTGGATGTTGGGTTCTCCAGTGCGAGTGGCTCTAGTCTGGCTGGGGCCTCGTTCTGTTCGCGCATAGATTGGCCCTGTTCGCCAGCACAACTAACCGCAAAATGGACGGGATCAGGAAGGTGAGTCTCGCCTTCCTAATCCCGTCCGTCAGGGTTCGTTAATGTCCGTCAGGATGGTCAGCCCGTGAAATTATTGCCAAACCTCTAATTCCGTCCGACCCAAGCGAAGGTGTCATCCAATGCACAGTTTTTTTGCTGGAAAACACTCACAAAAGTCAAATCTCATAACAAGTCTTTACATTACACCCATCAACGGAATAGCATCGTATAAGCACACTATAATGAACACTGTACGAAGTGTCTCCCTAATTCACCAATCATCAACAGCACCCACGAGAACCAGCAGCACCCACATCTTCATAATCGCCAAACCAACCTATCAAGAGTAGCTCGCAACATCAAGTTTCGCCTAGATGCTTTAGTATCCAGTATCCAGTGAGCGAGCATCGCTAGTACGCAGAGCGGAGGGTTTTAAGCCGTCGCGCGGGACCGCTTCTTCCGCGCTATCTCCAGCCCCACGAGCTGCACGTCGAAGATGATCGTCGCGCCCGCTGTAGTAGCCGTTATTCAGCGATTCGAGGGCGACGTCGTATGGGCGCACGCGGTATGACGGGTATGCATGAACATGGACGGATGAATGGAACACGGGGAATATAGGGAGAATGGGTCAGGTGGCAGTTCACTGCTAACGACATTTTAATTTCGCTTAGATGATCGGTTAGATCGTCGCAAGTAATCATCTGTGTTCATAAATATCCCCAAATGTTGATTAGCGACACAGGTGCGGGATCGCGCAGGCAACTCACGTGGAATGCCGTACACGTGGCCTTCGTCGCCGTACCCAAGGTGCGGCGGGATCTTGAGCTTGCGCTTCTCCCCCAGGCACATGCCCAACACGCCGTTCTCCCAACCTGCGCAGGTAAAAGGACATGGGGGGGGAAGGGGTGGGGGGGGAGGGGATGGGCGGAGAGAAGGAGGTGGATGGGGGAGGGGGAAGTGGCGGGTGAGATGATTAAAGCCTGCGCTTCTCCCTCAGACACATGCCCACGCCGTTCTCCTACGGGGAAAAACGAGGGGAGAGCGAGGCAAGGGGGTGGATTAAGAGACGAAGTGCGGGGAGAAAAGAGGACGTGAGAACAGAGAACGTGAGAATAGAGGAAGCGGGAATAGGGAAGGCACGCACGGAATGTCGCCGAGGCGGCAGTGAGGAGACCATGAAAGGGGGAAGAGCGGGAGATGGAACGGGAAGGACAGCCCGGTCGGTCTATACTCCCGGAGGAGCTTTACGAGCAGCAGATAGCGGGATAGAGGGGTGGGAGTGGAGATGGTCGAAGGTAACGGATACGTGAAGGAAGGGATAGAGGGACGGAGGGATGGAGGGAGAGAAAGGAGGAGTGAGGGCGTGAGGGAGGCTAGAGGGAGAAAGTTGGCTAGTGGCAGAGTTTTTGTAGCGCAGTGGCACCTTTTATCACGCTGCCTGCACCGATTCGGAATTCCACCGGTTTGTCCAGGTCGTGTGTGTTGTCAAACTGCCGGCCGTCCGTCAAGAAGCCCTGGTAGCCGTGTGTTGTTAATTTCAAAATGTGGGTGGCGGACGGAGAAAAGGGAGCAGCGGGAGCAGAGGGGGGACAGGTAAGTTAACTTGAGTTGTCTGGGGATGAGACTAGAAAACAGGAATAGGTGCATTTGTTGCAACATTTAAGAACAGAGAGCAGAGAGAGCAGAGAGGGCAGAGAGGCACAGGCATGCACGCGATTCATGCACGCACACATGCACGCACGCATGCACACACGCATGCACGCACGCATGCACGCACGCATGCACGCACGCACCCTGTAGTGAACCTTCACTCGGTCATTGAGGTGAGCTGTCGCACCACACTTTTTGGGCTTGAACTGCTCACACACGCAGCCAGGACGGGAGGCATGGGGGGGGGAAGTGGGGAGGGGTAGCAAGAAAGGACATGAGGGGGATGGCACAAGGGGATGGAAAACGGGAGAAAGGGGAGAACACGTCATCAAAAGGAAGGATGGGAACGCAAAATGGTGCAAACGTCTGACTGGATTTCTCAGATGCATGCAAGATTTCAATCAGTTGGAGGACCAACACACACAGGCATGCACATTAGCGACTGGGAAATTCTGCCTTCCCAGAATCACCGATTTGCTATGTCATGCGCTGATTCTTACTGACGTTGCACTCTACTTGAACGTACCTTCACGCCTATCTGTAGCTGCGTCACGTCCTTCTCCTGCTTCCCAGTCACCTCTGGCGGCTGCGATGCTGCTGCCGTGTCTGGTAGACGGGGCCGCAAGAACCACAGGATGAGGAGAATTATACACGGGTGCGTGGAGACGTTAAGAGTGGAAGGCGGTTGAGAGGATTCGCAGGGAATTTCGAAAAGAAACTAACTTTGAATCGCCATCAGCGAATGGCAAGGATATATGGTGGATTTGGCAGAATCGGAAAGCCATGAGTGAACGATAATTATTGCAGGATTTACTTGATAATAGCATCGGGAACTCGGCAAAATGGCACGGAAAGTGGTTCTTTTCGCTCGTTCCCGGCACCAGGTGCACCGGACTCCCGTACTTCACGTGAAACCATACTCGTGGGATCACGAGGATCCAGGTCAGTACCTGACGCAAGGATTGCTGCAAGGAGCAGCAACGAGAGCACGGAGAGACAGCGGTGCGTCTTGTGCGCCAAGAATTGCCCCATGGCGACGAGAAGGCCTGTTTCTTGTCCGCCGGATGAGGAGGAACCTGGCGATGAAACGCCTTTGCTAGAGCACAAGAACGTGCCGGGGATGAGAGGACGCCAGGAATCGATGTTACCGAATACGAGAAGCTCGTTCTGTGCGTGTCGTATAAATATGAGCTGGAAAATCGAGTCCGTCGCGCTGGTCACGCGCAGGCCACCATGGAACGGGAGAGGGTGACAGGTCATACAGAAGCAGGGTGTGACATGTTCCTTCCTAACCGTACCATCAGGAACGACAGTTGGAGGGAACCGAAGAGTCATGCTGGATGACCCCCCAAAAATAAGCAAAACAATCATTCCAGAAATTTTCTTACATGCATGTAGGACGAGGTCTGCTGGGAGGAGGCTGTGCGTTTCCGAATGGTCAGTTTCCGAAAGCTGTGAGGCTCTTCCAGCCAGTTCGCTTGGGCTTCCCCAGCAGCAGCATGGCAGCAGCGCTGACGTTACCGTTGCACCTATTGCGGGGCCTGATGCAAGCCGCCTCGACGAGAGATTGAAGAGTCGAATGTGCCGTTTCGTCTTCCTCAGGGATGCGATATTGGTGATTTTTTCTCACGATAAGAACTTACTGAAGTACTTAACAAGTTCAGAAAAAGGTAGGTAGGGTAAATAATTGTTTATGGTATCCCAAAACTGTATTTTCATATGGGACATCTGATGTTGAAATTTGCACGTACAAGTGCACTATTAATATCATTATTTTTCACTCTCTCAACGTTATAGACATGTGTTTTAATCCATGACCACTATATATTTCAAATGATTTTTTGTTGAAACGATAGAATGAATGAGACAATAATATCATGCATGAGTACAAATACCTAACCATGGAGTTCGAATAAATATATGCATCATCACATATAGTACAAGATAGAAAGGACAAGACTAAATCAAGTGAGGACATGCCGGAACAAGACCAACCTGTGTACAAAAGCGATGATGATCACGGGGCTGGAGTTCCTTTGTGAACCTTTCAGTGGTGTTGGCCTCTGAGGCCAAGAAACTCAAGCCAGGGCTCTTGCTAGGATTTGGGCCTGTCTGAAAACACCAATGTAAAAAATCGTTTTGTCTGACGATCAGACAGACATATTTTTCTGGTCTGATTTTCTAGACGAATGTTGGAGCTTAGTCTGATTTTTCATACTATTATATTTGCATAGTCTGATTCAGCTAAACACCCTTGTCTAGCATAGTAATCACACTTGTTTTTGTTAATGAACGCGCCCCTGGCGCGGCGCTGACAGCTCGCTAGCTGACAGGCGTGTGGCTGTTGAGGGGCATGCTGTCAAACTATGTTTCTCTGTTGTAGGCTGTAGTGGGGTAGCCTCTACTGAGTACAACACTTTAGGGTTAGACATTGCCCTACTTGTACTCATCCTTGCTTCCTAGTCAATCATTCCTGCCTCTTCATTCTGACATGGTTTCAGAGCAGTAGGTCCGTAGGACCGTTTTTTTTCGGGCCCACCTACCGCTACCCCACGACTGTGACTGTGACTGACTGTGCCTGTGACGTGCTGCGCTGCGCGCGCCGTCTGCCTGCTGCCTACTGTCTACTGTCTGAGCTGTCTGCTGTTGCTTCGCGCGCAGACCTAATTTTCAAGCGCTGCCTCGTTTTTACCCCCGCGGGTCGCCCTCTCCTGCCCGAATCGCGCCTCGGCAGCCGCGTCGCGTCCCGCGCGCGGCCCGCAGCTGCCCCGCGCAGCCCGCCCCGAGCCCGCGCGACGCGCGCGCGGCCCACACCTGCCCCGCGCGGCCTGCACCGAGCCCGCGCAGCGCGCGCGCGCGACCCGTCGCTGCCCTGCGCAGCCCACCCAAAGCCCGCGCGGCGCGTCCGCGGCCCGCAGCGCGCTGCGCGCCGTCCGCGCAGCCCGCGCCGCGCTCTACTTGCCAGTGCGCGGCCCCAGGCAGCGGCGCGCGCCACCCTACCGCCGCCACGGCCACGCCCTGCCGCCGACATGGCCCCACCCTGCCACTGACACGACCCGGCCCCGCCCTGCCGCCGACACGGCCCCGCCCTGCCGCTGACTCGACCCGGCTCTGCCGCTGACACGACCCGGCCCCGCCCTGCCGCTGACTCGACCCGGCCCTTCACTGTAGCCGCTGCTGCGGCCCCGCTGACGCCGTCCGCCGAGCACCGGCCCTGCTCGCCCGGTGAGAGCCTGCTCTTCCCGCCACTGGTGAGCCCCTGCCTTGCTAGCGCGCTGCCACGCCGCCTGCCTGCCTGCCTGCCTGTCGCGCCTGCCCTGCACGTACTATGGCTGTTACTGCTGCCCGAGCTGCTGCTGCTACTGTTGCTACTGTTGCTACTGGCGGGGGCCAGATGCAGCTCCAGCGACGCCCGCGCGAGTCTCTCACGCCTCAGCAGCTTCGTGAGTGGTACGCTAGTTGGGGTTGTGGCGGTAGCCGTCGTGACTGTCGCCCTGGAGCTGGTCGGTCGGGAGCGTGTGGCAGTGGCCAGCTGCAGCTGCAGCGGCGTCCGCGCGAGACACTTACGTCCCGGCAGCTTCACGAGTGGTACGCTCAGAGTCGAGGGTCTCGGAGTACCGTTCGCTGCCCGTACGTCCCACGCACAGGTGATCGGTCTGGTCAGGCTTGCGGGACACTTGGTCACACCCAGTCCCGCTGCTTCGCCCGTCTGAGCGACGCCTGGCGCACAGAGTTTGGTGACGAGGCTGAGGTCCCCACCTGGCTGGAGCTACTTGGGCAGGGGGTAGATATCTTTTCTCTTGACTATGATGCTATTCTCACTGCCATGTATGCATTGCCTACTAGTGATGACCGTGCCTGTTCCCTGTGCGTACCGCCTGACCCAGGTATAGAGGCTGCTGCTCTAGGTGCTAGTGCGTCTCCTGCACTAGGTGCTGGTGAGGCTGCTGCTCTAGGTGCTTGTGCGTCTCCTGCTCTAGGTACTGGTGAGTCTGCTCTCTCTGGTACTGCGCCTGCTGAGGCCGTGTACACCTTCACACTTGACTCAGGTGCTTCCCGCTCCTTTTTTCGCGACAGCACCACACTCACGCCGCTCCGTCGGCCAGTTGCAGTCTCTCTGGCAGACCCCTCTGGGGGTCCAGTCCTTGCGCACTCCTCCATGGTCCTGCCGTGTCCGGCGGTCCCGTCTGGCTCCCTGTCAGGTCTTCACCTCCCCTCGTTCTCTACGAACTTGGTGAGTGGAGCTGACCTACAGGATGTGTGGGTTGACCAGTTCACCCCTGGAGGTCAGCGTGTGACACACTGTACGTGTTCCCGGACTGGTCGGCACCTGGCCACGTTCACCCGAGAGCCTGGCTCGAGTCTGTACACACTCACCACTGTGTCCCCTCAGGTAGCTGCGTCTGCGTCTGCGTTTGCGTCAGGTCAGCTAGCGCCCCCTTGCTCGTGTCGCGCTCTGTCGCACCAGACCCTCCTTTGGCACCACCGCCTTGGTCACCCCTCGGTGCCGCGCCTTCGTAGCATGCACTCTCGCTACCTGGTCTCTGGCCTTCCTGAGTCTCTGCCTGCCCTCCCTCCCTCACCTGCGCCGCCCTGCATTCCTTGTGTCGAGGGGCGGCAGCGCGCCGCTCCTCACTCCTCCTCGTTCCCTCCCACAGAGGCTCCCTTGCAGACTCTCCACCTGGACGTGTGGGGCCCAGCCCGCGTCCGTGGACAGGGCCGCGAGCGGTACTTCCTGCTGGTCGTCGACGACTACACGCGTTACACCACGGTCTTCCCCTTGCACAGCAAGGGGGAGGTCCCTGATGTTTTGATCCCCTGGATCCGCGCTGCTCGTCTCCAGCTCCGCGAGCGGTTCCACTCGGACTTTCCTGTCCTGCGTCTGCACTCTGACAGAGGTGGTGAGTTCTCCTCAGACCTCTTGGCAGCCTACTGTGCGGAGCACGGCATCCGCCAGTCGTTCACGCTTCCGGCCTCTCCGCAGCAGAATGGGGTTGCTGAGCGCCGCATTGGCTTAGTCATGGAGGTCGCTCGTACCTCCATGATCCATGCGGCTGCCCCCCATTTTCTGTGGCCGTTTGCGGTCCGGTACGCCGCGCATCAGCTCAACCTCTGGCCCCGCGTCTCCTTGCCGGAGACCTCGCCCACACTGCTGTGGACGGGGAAGGTTGGCGATGCGTCGCGTTTCCGGGTCTGGGGTGCTCGTGCCTTTGTCCGCGATACCACCGCGGACAAGCTCTCCGCCCGCGCTGTTCCCTGTGTCTTCCTTGGCTTTGTCCCTGACGCGCCTGGTTGGCAGTTTTACCACCCCATCTCGCGCCGTGTCTTCCCCTCTCAGGACGTCACGTTCGACGAGTCGGTTCCCTTTTACCGTCTCTTCCCCTACCGCACTGCCCCTCTCCCCCCCCCCCCGCCGCTCTTCCTCGCTCCAGGTGCTCCCCAGGTAGACCCCCTCCCCGCTCCCGGTCCTGCTCCTTCAGGTGTGTCTCAGGTAGACCCTCCTCCTCAGGTTGAGGTCACTGGTGACTCAGGTGCTGCTGAGGGTGGTGCTGCTGCTGGGGGTGCTGAGCCTGGGGGTGCGGAGCCTGGGGGTGCTGAGCCTGGGGGTGCTGAGCCTGGGGGTGCGGAGCCTGGGGGTGCGGAGACTGGAGGTGCTGAGCCTAGGTGTGAGGAGTCTGGGGGTACTGAGCCTGGGGGCGCTGAGGCGTCTGGTGAGCAGTCTCCCGGGAGCGGCCGTCTCTGTAGTCGCTCCGCTAGTGCCTCGCCGCTGCACTCTAGTCGTCGACTCCCTCTCTCCCCACAGCAGCTGTTTGAGTGGTACGCTGGCCGTCAAGGTCGCGCTGATGGAGCTAGGGGCCCTGGTGCGGGAGGCGCTGGAGCTGGTGACTCTGCCACTGGAGTTGTTTCTACTGGAGGGTCTGGAGCTGCTGAGGGTGCTGGAGCTGAGGGTTCTGGAGCTGCTGGTGGTACTGGCGCTGGTGGCGCTGGAGCTGGAGGTTCTGGAGCTGCTGAGGGTGCTGGCGCTGAGGGTT